TTCATTAAGATCAAGGCTGGCTAAGAAGCTGGCTGTTACTGTGCATTATGACTGGCAACTAACTGTCTTCGAGGATGGGTAGGTATTAAACTCATGCCAGGAAACTGCTCTACCAACGAACGACATAATCAGCACTTCTTTTTTGCTTTTTGCTTCAAGTGCTTTTCATACAAGGAAACTTCAATGGAAAGAAGACAGTCCAACCTCAGTACTGAGAATCTTGAGTTAATTGTTTTCATGTTCTTGGAAGCTGCAGCCATTTTCTTTACCCTAACCCATGCTCTTAGGTAACAGAAATGTTAATAGAGATCTTTGGGACGTTATCTGAAAATTTCCCATTCTCAATGAATCAGTTTTCATGCCTTACTGAGCTCATCAAATAATTATTCACTACTGTATAAAAGGACTTGGTATCCATTTATCGTTTTGGAGGTTTAATTCAGAAATCCTTTTAAGCAAATAGATCTTTAGTATATGAATATTCTCACCTTCACATTCACAGAATAGAGAACGCTGTTAGAGAAGCTTCATTTGTTGCCTTTTGTAGTACAACATAAATCATTAAAGCAAAGCAAACCATGACACATAATTTCTAACTATAGTAAGTGCCTATGTAAATGAGATTAATAGCATCTTTCCTGAAGTCAATGAAAATCAACTGTTTTCTCATAATTCCTATTAGAATTACAATAAAGCAACTCTTGCTCAAGGTAGAAATTAACTGTCACTACAGCAGATCTGCTCCATGTAAACACAGCCCTATTTCTCAACCAGTTAGTTGCTACTTTTTACTCCTTATAATTCCTTTCTTTTTTTTTTTTTTTTTCTTTTTTAATTCTTATTTTTTTTCAAGACAGGGTTTCTTTGTGCAGTCTTGGCTATACTGGAACCTGCTTTGTAGACCAGGCTATCCTTGAACTCACAGAGATCTGCCTGTCTCTGCCTCCCAAGTGCTGGATTAAAGGCTTGTGCCACCACTGCCCAGCTCCTTTCCTCTTGATAGACCAGTCTGAAGCATCACAAGTAATATTTAAACTGTCAAATAATTAGACAACTATTTTTTCTTACCTTCTGGTTTTTTTTTTTTTTTTTTTTTTTTTTTATCAAAGGTAGTATTGGGTCAGCAGGAGGGTTTAACGGGCAAAGGTGCTTCCTATAATGCCTGATGACTTAGAGTGGATTCCTAACATTCACATGGTGGAAGGAGAGAAGGAACTACAAGATGTGTTTGTTCTCTGTCTCACATACACACATAAATAAATAAAACACTTAGGAATAAAAATGGTAGTCTTGGGGTCTGAATGCTTACAAATGTGTGCTACCACTGAGCTTTATCTTCAGCTACTGACTCTCCCTGCCCTCAACATTTGACCAATTTGTTACTTTGAAAGGCAAATTTTAACTGGACTCAGAAGCAGAAGCTCTCAGCAAGGATAGCCTACATCTCTTGGCAATATGTTCCTGCAGTTTTTCTTGGGCTTCTTTCATTGCCTTGGCCAAAAGTTTAGTATATCTGCAGCCTCCTCCTCTTTAGAGCTCTTGCAGGACTCATGGTGTAACAAGATGCTGAATCTTAGGCCTTCTGGTCCTGGGCTCATCACCTTCTTTGTTTAAGAGCTTTCTTGACAACATACTGGAGGATATGATCTTTAGAGAGATTGAAAAGTTGGCAAATTCTGATAGTTTTTTTGTGCTCCAATCGCTGACGCACAGTATCTGTCAGTTCAGAAATATCCTTCTCTCCTTTTGTTTTTGGTTTTGTCTTTAAACAATAACCAAGTTGAGAACACTCAGCTTGGCATCCACAATGCATCTGAAAACAGACTTGCTCTTCCTCTCTCCAGTTATCCTTGGTCTATCTCAAGAATGCCCCCTGTGATGTGGGTCAAGACACTCTGCTTCATGGAAAAACCTTGTTCATTGTTCCCATCAATGCTCCACTTTTCACCCGGAGCATCAGCAGGAGTGTCTGCGTCCATGTGGTTCTCATATAAAAGTATGAAGCTTGCATTCATCATCCACTCAATGAATTTCAGCCATGAAGGCAAAGGCAGGTGGATCTCTGTGAGTTTGAGGCCAGCCTGATTTACAGAGTGAGTTCTAGGATAGCCAAGACTCTTACACTGAGAAACACTGTCTGAAAACAAACAAACAAACAAACAAACAAAAAACACAACAAAAAACCAAAAATCCAAAAAATCCCCAATAAAACAAACAAATAAAAAAAATTATCTGCAAAAGCACAGGATTTCTTTTTTGGTTATAAATAAACAATCCTATTTCATTCCCTTATATTAAACTCCTTGAGAACAAAAACCCCTATAGTCATTCAGCATACCTTATTACTATCTACTCTTGATGGTTATATGTGACTGGTAAGTAGCAGAAATACCACCAGAACAAATTAAAATGTGGGATAAATATAAACTATATACAGAATTTCAGAGTATGGAAAATGAATATTTCATTAATAATTCCTATAATAATTAATTGTTAATACTTGAATACACTGGGTTAAATAAAAATTGCCATTAATTTTAATGTTTTCTCTTATACTTTTTATACTGTGACTACTTAAAAAGTTGAAGTTACTCAATAAACATATTATACATATGTGGCTTATACAGTACAGTGCTGTATATTCTGTGTGAAGTGCTAAAAGTATGAAGATAAAAGAAATTGCTGGTCACAGTGGCTTTTATCTATAATCCTAGCACTGGGATGCTGAGGCAGGAGAACTGCTATGAAAACAAGGTTAGCTTAGGCTCTAACCTCTAAATCACTATTTTTTTCAAGGAATTCACGCCCACTTTATTATCCTATCACTTTATTATGCTATGTGTCTAACACATTGCCTTACTCTAGCAGCTAATGACTTAACTTCATAACCAAATCTGGATTCTTAAGTGAGTGGCTTAGTCATCACAGCTAATGAGTGGGCAAAAATTAGTTACTAGGTAGAAACCTTGAAACAGAAGTGTAGAACTGTAGGGATGATTAAGCATTTCTTCATTCCTGAGGAGAGTTTTGTATGCGTGATAATAAATGGTAGGTTAGCCCTTTTAAGAATGAGGTAATACTGTCATATCATGATGTGAATACCCAATACTTAAAGAGAAATAGGACACCTAATTTGTAGTGGTGAAATCCATCATTATTATTACATATCCTGGGGTCAGAAATGCAGCGTTATTGGGGTGGCTATATAAGCTGATGGTTTTTCTATTTTCACACATATTATAAAGAACATGTGTGGTTATTCTACTGGTAAGTACTGCAGAGACAGTATACATCTGATACCTAAATCACTAAAGTCAGATGAGCTAAATACATTTTGAGATTGACTTTTTGTCCTAGGAAGTAACAGGAGTTAAAACTGAATGGGAAAGAAGATAGACATCTTCCTCTTGCATACCCAGTGCATCATGGAGGTACTGTTGTCCCACCAACTTGAGGTATTCCTCAATAGATTTCGTGGCAATGGTGTTTTCTCTGAAGATCAAGACATCATGCTCTCCACAACGATCCACCTCAGACATCACCAAGTCAGTCAGAAAATCCTGGCAGAATAATGTTCAGTCATAAAGAAAGCAACTGATAGAGGAATATATATTAGAAGAGACTACTGAAATAGCAGATATCCTGGGAATGCTGCTAAAAACTAAGCCACCAAATTTCTTGGAAAGGGAAAAGGCAGTCAGGATAAAAATCTTATGGACTGCCAGCTCTACATTTAATTTTTGAATTCCTTCTTTTGAAAAAAGACCAAAATTCTGAGTGGATCTCTAAGTCTCTCTCTCTTTTGACTTCACCAAGCACTGTTCTCTCTTCTGCTCTAGCCCTTGCATGTTGCTCTGGTTTCTTTTTTATGTCCTTTAGTCCACACAGCCCATTCCCCATAGTGTTCTCTATTCATCACAAAAACCTTCTGCAAATACTCATCTCAGGTCTGTTCTACCTCCACCCTCACCTCTGCTCCCATTATCATAAAACTAATTTCTGGGAACCTTTAGATCTTCCTTCACTTACTGCTTCCTTTATGAAGCCCTCTTGGATCAAGATTACCCTAGAACATCTCTTGTCAGTTCCTCTTGCTCCACACCCTATAGTCTTTACCTTCTGCATGCCTCTCTATAATCACAGATTTACTTTTGTAATCACTGAATATGGTTTCCCCAGAAAACTGAAAGCCCCTAAAGGTAGCGTTTATTTTTGTTCAACAAATCCAGTAAAGACACACTTTCAGCACCTGACAGTTACTGGCACATGTTAGATGTTATTTTATCTTCCCAGTTTTCATTTCTATTTAGGTGAAAGATTGCCATGACACAGCTGCCAACTAACTGTACAACACCCCTTGTGTTTCCATTTCAGATACAGATTTTAATTCCACGAACATTATACTTGTACATTTCTTGGTTATCTCCTGTGCCACCGGGATATAGTTAGCAGTTAATCTTAAAATACATCATTTAATACTCCAGAAAAACTTCAGCTAGGTATGATGTTGCACACCTATATCATTCCTTTAATCCTGGGATTTGGGAGGCTGAGGTAGGAGGATCACAAATTTGAGGATAGAATGGGCAAAATGGTAAGACCGTATTTTAGAAAACAAAAAACAAAAGTAACAATAGATTCTGAACATGCTGTGGGGTTATCATAGCAAATGAGACCATGGCATCTACCTTCATGAAAATAAACTAAAACTGAATATTTTTGCTATTTCCTCATTTTACTTTAGTTTAAAAATGTCCATACCTCATAGTACCATTGAAAGCTTTCTTTATCTTAATTTCTCTTTTCTTTTCTGAAAAATTTCTAAGATGGATTTTCACAGTCCCTACCGGTATCCACAGCTTCATTTCCTTGCACAAGGTAAAGGAGGACTTTCAGGTAACACACTCTTTTTGACTTACCTTGGCTCTGCCAGTACTTTGAAGAATGTGCACTAAGGCACAAGCCAGCTCCTCTTTATTCCTCACACTGATTACTGGCTCAAGAACAGAGCACAGCATGGTGTAGTTGCTGGTGATGAATTCTGCAAATTCTTTGTATTGTTCCATAGGCAGAATGGTGATGGTTTGGAAACGTGACTTAATCCGAATAGAAGGTCCTCCTGTCTTTCCTTTGTTGGGTGTGGGTGTACTCACTGGGTACCACTTTTCTACAAACTGGCGACCAGTCACACTGGCAGTGGGGATGTTGACTAGCCCTACATAATTATTCTTGTCCTTTTTTTTCTTTTTTTCCACATCCTTATAAATATGAACTGTGATGCTATGAAGATGTGGAAGGCTATAGAATTCAAAATGTTCACCCCAGAAAATATTGTCTGCTTTGGTCTTGCTGGTTGTACGAGCAAAGAGGGTATCATCAAGGCACAGTTCGCAGAAATATTTTTTTTTAGGGGCAAGGTCCTTGGCTTCAATGATCCATAAACGGAGAACATTTTCAGCTCGTCGACAATTGTCCTATAAAGAGATGGCAAATTTGAATTTGAGATCTGACATTCCAGAAAGAGAATGTTTTCTTCTTAAAGTAGTGCTGATTACTAATGTTCCTCTGCTAAGAGCAGTCAACAGAGTAAAAAGAATTGCTATTTCATTGTTTTGAACCACAGAGCTATAAAGAAGAATTTTGTACTGGTTCAATGGGCAGATGCACCTGCTGCCAAGCCCAATGAGCTGAATTTGATCCCAGAGCACTGTGGAAGGAAAAGAATCAACTCCTGCACATTGTCCTCTGACTTCCACACATGCACTGTGCTGAAACACACACATATAAATGAAATTAAGAATTTTTTTAAAAAGAATCTTACAAAGCTAGACAGTGGTGGTGCAAGCCTTTTTAGCCCAGCAATCAGAAGGCAGAAGAATGTGGATCACTGAGTTTGAGGCCAGCCTGGTCTACAGAGTGAATTCCAGGACAGTCAGGGTTACACAGAGAAACCCTGTCTTGAAACAAAACAAAATCGTACAGAACCACATATTTTGTTTTATTTGGGTTAAAAAAAAATTATCACATAACAATAAGACCTCTACTGCCACCTATATGAGGCTGAACTAATTTCTAAAATTAAACCAGTATCATGTATTTTTACCATAGATTAACTTCTGGTTGGGCATGTCACTTAGCTGTTTTTGAGTCTCTATTCCCACTGGTAAAAATGACAATAATATTGTCATGAAGGAGATGATTTTCAGTATAAAATGTCCTAACATGTATACAGGTTTTTCAAACTGTCAACTCTAAGTTAGATGTGATAACAATTGCCTATAATCCCAGCCCTTTCCAGGCTGGGACAAAAGGGTTGCATGTTCAAGGCCAGCATTGGTTACATAGTGAGATCCTGTCTCAACAACAACAACAACAACAAATTATTAAGATTTATAAAATTAAGATAGTACTATATTTGTCGTCTATCAACTTGATGTTTACAAAGTAATACATTGAAAAAAAAACTTTTATTGAATTTGTTCTGACAATTTCAAACCTGTGTAAAATACATCTGATTACCATAACCACACCTTCCCATCCTCCTTACTCTCCTTCCTACAAGTTCCTTTCTACACATCATAGTCCCCTCCCACCTTTCTGAGACCCACTGAGTTTAATTAAGAACATCTGTCCGTGTAACTATGGGTGTTGAACCATCTACTAGAGCTCAATGGACTCCTATGGTGGGCACATACCTGAAAACTGTAACTGCTCCTTCCTGACAATGTACAATCAGACAACAGTTCAGCAGGGAGGAGTAGGACCCCTTGAACCTTTCCAATCTATGACTGACTGTTAACAGACCCAGTCTTGTGTGGGTCTGGTGCCACAGCAGCTATGAGGTGAAGAGTACATTGGCTGTGTATTTCTCAGCTCTTCTCCCTGTCTTCCTGCATTACATTCTTCCTGCTGCTCCCTCTTCTGAGATGATCCATGAGCCACAGAGGGGGTGGTATACATGTACTATTTGTGACACAATTTTTGACATTCAAAGCCACCATTACCTTATTTGGCTGAACTGTCCTTCGAAGGTTTTCCATCCACTTATCTCTCTCTGAGGCAGAGTTACAGCTAAAGCATTTACTTCCACTTAAGTAGGTGACCTTCAACACAAAGATTAGAGATGTGGATGTAAGGCTATGTGTGTGGTGTTTAATTTCTAAAGTTGAAGAATTAGGGACATGTTAGGAAACCCACATCTTATCACATGAAGCTAAAACAATCATTTTAGTTTTATCCTATCTTTACTTAAATTTTAATCTCTAAGTAGCATCCATATGTATGTCAAACTATGAGAAAAACACTTATTTACAATTTTGCCTATGGTAAAGAGGAATAAAAAATTAATTAAGGCCATATTTAAAATTACCTATAAATGAATATACTTACTTGAGCTAATAAAAAATAACTAAAAAGGGAGATGTTCATAAAATCATTCGATTTCAATAAGACTGCTTCATTACAATGCTACAGGAGGCCACTAAATGAAGCCGAAAGGCACCAGAACAGTTGAATCACTCTTTGGAATCCACTTCTCCTCCAGGAGACAACCAACCCATTGATTTCTGGTCATTTATAACAAATGACACAGTACACTATGTCTATAGTAAAAGCTACTGAATTAAACTTTGCAAATAAGGAAAAAACACAAGTGACTTTCAATAAATAATAGTAATAATAAACAGATATAAATGACCTGCCCCAAGCTGTAATTTGTTCACTTATATTCTCAGGTTATAATACAATGAGTCAGATCCAATGGTATCTGATTCATTGTATCATCTAGCTTTAGGTGATTAGTGAGGATATGAGATGTGGCTGAGATAGACAGTTATTGAGCTAGGAACATGAAGGGGATTACAAAACCAAATAAGGTGTGGTCCTAGGTCAAGAACTGCTTGTGTTATAAAACTGTAATTTTTGTGGGTTTTCTCCAAATTCTTTTAAAATTAGGGATTAATAGTATATAACATTTTATCAATATTAAAAATAAGCTATTGTTAATCTTATTAACCTATGCTGAGTATGTACTAAGTGCCCAAGTTTTTAAAGCAGATAAAGGTAAAGGCCTAAAGTAATCATTAATAACTTCTATTACAAATATAATTCTATTAACAGATTTTTCAACTCTTCCCTTACAAGTAGAAAATTTTCAGGAACTGAAAATAAGTTATGATAATCAAATCAGAAACACAACAGAAAAATAGTCAAATTATTATCAACTATTCTCCCTTCTTTCTGCAATTCCTTTCCCTTTTTACCTCAAAGCAGAAGTCTTGTCCAAGGATGCTACTATGGAGTGGTTTCACTGACACTGGCTCCCCTCTACCAAGATCAAGACATTCCACTGCACTGCACGGGCTCAGCAGGGACTCATGTGAACGAGACTCTTTCAGTTTAGGCAGACCACGAGACCTACAAGTAGAAGATACTTAAGACAGTATTACACGAAGGTCTAAGGGAAGGAGACTAACAAAAATGTACAAAGGTATAAGGGGAAAAATAAAAGAAGAAATGAGTAAATATCCTACAATAACAACAGTATTACCAGTCACATTTATGTGTGTGTGTGTATCATGAACACACTCGCGAACACACCTTTTCAGCAAAGCATGAAAACTGAATAATTTTACAAGTCTCAAAGGACCTCTAAGTTTCTGTACAGATGTTGTTTTTATTCTCATTTCTATATTGGAAAATGGAGAAGTACATTATTATTCAGAATTCTTTAACACTTTTTATGCAAAAGTATTGTCAAAAGACATTCTTATTTTATTTGACGGTTCACATAATTTATCTTCTTGTATCACTGACAGTGGCTGAATCCTCAGTAGTTTCTTTGTGCTCTGGTGGATTCCCACCCCCACACCAGCACACACAGTGAGCAAGAGAAAACAAGCATGAGAAGCGAGAGAGACAGCAAGAAAGACAAACTTTTCAGCAAAAGAATGTCTTTCAAACAGCTAGATTTCCATCTCAATCTGGAATTCTCTTTTGGCAAACTTTGACTTCTGTACATGCTTTACAGTATAAATATGAATAAAGAATAGGATGCCTTAAGGAAACTTCCCTCCACCAAAGTTTAAGAGAAAAAAGAAAACAAAAAAAAAAAAAAAAAAAAAAAAAAAAAAAAAAAAAAAAAAAAAAGAAGGAAGGAAGGAAGGAAGTAAGGAAGGAAGAAGAAGCCAAACTTCCCAGAGAACAGCTGACACTGTTAGGCAGGCATCTTGGCTGATTCTATTTTCCTGGTCTTTTTCAAAAGAATGGTGGGTACTCTAGCTCTTGTCACTACAGGAGCTAGTACTTCACTGCCTTCCTATTATAAAAATTAATGGAGTCAAACATGATGAAAACAAATTTTCTAAATTCAAAAAGTGTATGGCCACACAGTTTTAGTCAATAATTATCATACTTATTGACTGAAATATCCCTATGCTTCAAGTAGAAGGTCTTAATAATAAGTCTATAAACAAATGTCTGTGTAAAGACATTTTGGTAAAATTGTAAATAAGCATCTTTATTCATTAACTATGAACAAGGATAATACTGAAAGGAGCTGTAGTATTTATTGCCAGAAGAGTGTTTAGCTAAATTATTAAGCAACAGGCTATTGGAAACCACCACTAAATTCACTATCGTCTGTTTCCACTCCATTTAGTCAAACTCCATAAATAAGGAACATCTTAAGCAATATGATAATTTAGCCTGTTGTTTTAACAAAAACAAAATAATAATAATCTAAAGTTTAGGTAGAAAAAACTGTTCTGATAGCATTTTTTTTTTTAAGTAAAAAAGGAAACATAGTAGTTCCTATTAATAATGCAAAGTATATACTAAAGGGACAAAAGCCACCAAATATAGTGTACATAAAAATACAGCAAAGCAACAGTTGTATTCATTTCCTTTTGCTCTGGACAAGAAAACATGTTTGAAGTCATGTGGCACAAATACAGCACAATCATAACTAACTAAATGCTACTTTTTAAAACCTTAGTCAACTTATCACAACAGCCTTTCACAATATGAAGAATCAGAAGCCAGATCAGAGAAACAGGACACCATCATCTTTGTTAAACAAACAGAAAACAATTATTCTAGCTACTTTTTCCAGGAGGAACTACAGGAGGAAAAAGCCTCTCTGGCTCTGGGATGATCAAGAGATAAGTGAAACAGAAGGTGTAATGACAACGTTTCTTTTATTTTTCATAATCTCCAAAACGTTTAAGTATAAGTTAATTTTATTTAAAACAAAATAAATGTCTACCTACATGAAGCAACTGTACAGCCATCTGGTAGTGCAACCCCAAACCATAGCGGTGCCACATCCCGATGTAACAAGTGACTTCCTGGACTACACCTCAGAAAACAACTCTCTGCTTAGAAGACAGGAACGAATTGAGGATTTATTTCCCTGCTGCCTCAGTTACTGATGCCATATTTGCATAAATGCCTCTCAGGTGTTATTCAAGCCTCCAACAGAAGCAGGGCAGAAACACAAACAACCCAGCAAGTCCTCTCTATCTCAGCTCTGCAGTGCAGGTGACATCCCTCTGTTCCTCCAGGCTGCATCTAGCCCCTCAGGTAATACAAACAAGGTTCCAGGGCTCTAGGCTGGGCCTGTTGCCATGGTGCTCCACCTTTAAGGAGACTAGGGCTGGAAGGCAGCAGGGAGAAGCTGCAGCTGGCAGGACTCAGGGAGCATGCTCTACACAGGCAGCAGAGGTGGTTGCTTTCAAGTAGGAGGGAGGGAGGCGGGAGGGCCCATTCAGGTCACCAAATTCTCAGTCAAAGACTGATAATGAATGCAGCTCTGGGGGCAGAGAACGATGGCTTATTGAAACTACTTAGAGGAAGTGTTTGCTTGTTTTATGTAGTTGCCGGCTACCCTCACACTAGGTGGTATCCCCTATGTCTCTTCTTGCAAGAACAACTTCTCACCTGTTTCCTTTGCAGTGCCCACCCTAGGTAAAAGTCTCCTTTTTGCATAATTTATCTAGTTTAAAGTTATTTTCTAACTTTAGAGAAAGTTAAATAAAATGATTTTTTCTTCAGTAATCTTCAATATAGTTCAACTTCCAATAACTGCTAGAAAAGCTCATTCTAATCGTTCAATCATTTGGATAACTTACAATGCTACTTACTGAAATTTCAATAATTAATATAGTCTAGAAACTCCTATAGTTCAAAATGTGGATACACACAAATGAATCGATAGCCAAAGTCTAGTACACTCAACATTACTACTGAATAAATAAGCCAGCTCTTCCTGTGAGAAGACAGTGTCTCTGAGAAGTAATTCCCACAGAAGCACAATTATAGTAAACAGAAGATCAAACAGCCTGGGGATGGCTCAGGGCAAGAGTGGGGGAAGGAGGCATTATCTAGCCAAACATTTCAATATGACATTAGAAACCCAGTTCACCTCGATTATGTTACCTTCTCCTGTACTTTCACACGAACTGATTTCCACAGTTCTTCTAATGAGTTTTAGCATCTGGTGCCAACAGTTTACTCCTCTAACAGAAAAGAATGGGTATTTATTGGTAGAATAATGAGTTTAAATTAAAGCAACTTTTGCAAGGTGAGCCTGACAGGGGCCTTCCTTCATCAAGATAATGTTCATCCCTTGACTACTGTCCCTGCCATTCTCCTGACTACTCTTCTTTACCCTGTACATTACTGTAAACACCACACAATGATAATGCAGGGTTCCAATGTGACTGCGAGAGACCCAGGCCTCAGCAGAACTGCCGCCATAGCACGAAAACCTGAGCAGTATGCAGGCTCCCACTCCACCCCTAGTCACCAGGATGTGACTGTCCCAGACCTTAGTCTTAGTTTCAGGAAAGACCATTAACACCTCCCGCCACAGGGAGATGCCAATCAGAAATACACAACTCCAGATATCCTCCTGCTGAGACTAAAATGTTTTGATGTCCCTAGACCCTCCTAACCAGGGCTTGAGCCAACTCCAAGTCTATAATTATGCAGTTTTGGAATTCCCTAGCAACTCCCCTTGTCTAACCACAAAGCTCCCACTCCATGCTGCTCGAAGTCTCTCCTGGTCGCTGCTGCCTCACTTAGACCAAAAGGCCCAAATTAATTCACAATAAAGATTCTTTGCTTTTGTATCAGATCAGGTCTCTTGGTGGTCTTTTGGGGGTTCAGATTTTGGGCACAACAACTGTACCTTAATTTAACTGGGAAACTGCTTCTTAGAGGTCAATTTTATATTAATTAAGGAACAGAATACTTTACGTTTCTATTTTAAGGTTAGCGGAGTCTTGATTTGTCAACTTATGGACAGTGAAGGAAACCATTCACATGGGTTAAAAATCTAATTGCTGATGAAGATGATTTACTGCTTCTGATTGGTTTAGGATATAGACTTTAAGAGAGACTTTCTGTTAGCACAGTAAGTGCCTGCTATATTGCTTCAATCTTCATCACTACTTAACAAGTTTTAAAAGAGAAGAGTGAATGGCTGGGGGATGGGGAGCCATCATACACAAACCAGTGGATGGTACTGGCAAAGGAAAAGAGTAAAAGAACTCTGATTAGTACAATTTGAAATAAACACAGCTGGATTTTCTCATCTTACCCATCTGATTTTTCAAAAAGTCACGTTTCCCCCATGGCTCCAATAATGCTTGGGTTGGCTAGCTCAATCTGCCACATTTTTACAGATTCAGTTCCAAATTTAGGAACTGGGAAACTTTTAATTAAAAATGCTTATTGCCACACAAAATCCTGGACTCAGTGCAGGTGAGTTTCTGCTTGGTTGGCAGTTATGATTCTGAACTGTGTCACTGAGTTCTTGAAGAGCCCTGAGCTGGTAGCTGGGCACTGTAGGACACTCTGTTTACCCAACATGCATTTTAAAATACTCATTTTGAAATGTCCCAAGTAGTAATTAACAAACCTGGGTGTCTCACTATTCTCAACATTTTAAACTGAGATCTCACAACAAGACAAGAATTTCTTCCCCCAAGACAAGAATTTCTTCCCCCAGTTCTCTAAATTTTACTGTTTTATAATCAATTTTTTTTTTTTTTTTTGGTGAACAATTCCAAGTGATTCTATCTGTTGAGAAACGTGCAACTCCTCTATATTGTAACTTTAGTTTTCCCTCTCAGGCTTTATATGATCACTCACTACTATTCTATTGTGTACTCAAAACCCACTTGTCCGAGAATCTTGATAGTTCCTGATGCAAAGGCTTACTTGCTGTAGGTGACACCACTTCCTATTGCTTATGCTACTGATTTTTATGTTAGCCACACAGATAACTACTTATGGAAGCTCAGTGCAGAATGGAGATTTTTCTTCTCCCTGCTCTCAGTCTCCAGAAAGGAAGATCTAATGAGCTCAGATGCTAGGGATAAAACAGGGTATCTATAGCCCGAGTCATCACT